GTTTATGATCGTTTTTAAGATTCTGTGTCCTGGGTTATCTCTAGGGGTTTCTCCTTGTAGAACTCTTCTACAGTACAGGTGGAGTTTGGTGGGCACATGGTGTTTTGGCTTTCCATTTTATTATTCTTTTATTGTGATTTTGGCATGTGAGTTTCTTTTGTTGTCTGTGATTCTGATATGAGAATTAAGTTGAAGTATTAAGTATTAAGTTAAGTTTGTACTATTGGTGTGCCTTGGACATTTTCTTATTGGTTATATAAAACTGGTTGGTCCAGGTTTCAGGTTCTCTCAGTTTTTATTTTGGAGGGAACTGATGGCTTCAGATCAGCTACTCAGGAGCACCTACAGAGGGCCAAGTCAGGTTCCAGTTAGGTACACTCAGGCTTCCTTCTAAGGTTTGGACCCCTCCTAGTGGGAATTCAGAGCAAAATTTGGGAAGATCCCTAAGAGGGGGAACTGATTTTGAGACTTTCAGTCAGTCTGCTGAGCTCTCAGCTCCTATGCCAGAGGGAGGCCAGAACAGGCATGCTCTGATGGTCTGCTGAGATCCCAGCCACTACACAGATGGAGGTCAGAACCCACCCTCTCAGGCTGTCTGCTAAGATCTCAGCCCTATCTTACCAAAGCCAGGTCTGCCCAGGGGCCTTGGGAGGGGGTATCACACAATCCCAGTTAGGGGGTTGGGTATGGCACAATTAGAGGAAGCTCATGACCACGTGGAGTCAGGATCTGGGTGCTCTCAGGCAGTCCCCTGAGTTCTCAGCCCCTGTGCCAGAGGGATGCAGAAACGGGCACTCTCTGGCAGTCTGCTGAGATCCCAGCCACTACACAGATGGAGGTCAGAAACCACCCTCTCCGAACTGTATTAACTTTTAAGGTAAAGAAACTAAACATGCCAAAAGAAACCACAGGGAAGAAAATAATGAGTGGAAAAGCAGAAAAGTAATAAACATTTGAAACAGAAATGAATTAATGAATCAAAGTTCTGGTTCTCTAAAAAAGTAAGAAAAATACACAAACCATTTATCAAATTAACCAAATGTAAACAGGACAAATACAAATTATATCACATTAGACAAAGAATAAATAATGTGGTATATACATAGGTGAATGATCCAAACTGGTTTTGAAATGGTTAACATAAGCACCCAAAACAGAGAGAGTGGCAACAAACCTAAGTAATTCTTGAGCATGGTATTTTGACTGTATACATTAACACTAAAGGAGCAAAAAGCTGTAAAGAAATAGTGAAGCCTCATAGTTGGTTTAGTTTTCCCAGAGGCCTAAGCTACATGTTTTCCCCCTAATGGTGCTAGGAAGGAACAGAGGAACTCCTGTACGATAAGTACCCAGTTACCCACCACCTAGCTGGATGGCATGAAACTGCTTTTGAGGCTTTGTTGTATTAAAGGAGCAAGTAAATGTTTTGAAGTTCATTAGAATCTAAAGTTTGAGATGCAGAAAGGGGACCATACAGGCTGAGACATGGCTCAGCAGATAAAGTACTTGAAGCTACAAAAGCCTGAGGACAGGAGTTTGCATCCCAGGCATCCAATCACACAGCTGAGTGGAACCTGTACATAACCTTCCGGAGGCAGAGACAGGGCATCCCCAGGGCAAGTTGGCTAGCTAGACTAGCCTAGATGGTGAGCTCTAGGTTTAGTTGAGAGACCCTGTTTCAGAAAATAAAGTGGAGAACCACTCAGGTAGACAGATCATGCACCACACACATGCACACAGATGTGCATATACAGCCATATGCGTACGTATGCCAACACACATGTGGACATACTACACACATACACCATACACATACATGTACAAAAATAGGGGGAAGATGAGCAGTTACTCTACTGTGCTGATTGAAGGTAGAGGTATCAGTGTAAACTCCTGGTTTATAATATATTTCTTTTTAGTGTATCTATATCTGTTTTCTGCCTATTGACAGAAACTTGGTACACTTTACCTTAACCCAAGGATCAAATGAACATCATCATTGATGATAAAAATATAGCATCATGTGCTTGCTCCTTTGCTGAATTAAGGGGACACAGTTTTCCTGTTGTGGCATTTATGTCCCAAGACATAACCTGAATCTTTTCTTGAGGAAACATTTGAGAGAGAGAGAGAGAGAGAGAGAGAGAGAGAGAGAGAGAGAGAGAGAGAGAGAGAGAGAGAGAGAGAGAGAGAGAGAGAGAGAGAGAGAGAGAGAGAGAGAGAGAGAGAGAGAGAGAGAGAGAGAGAGAGAGAGAGAGAGAGAGAACAGAGCGATACCAGATTAAAGGAGAATAGAGAAACATGAAAACTAAGAAACATGTATGATGCTGGCTCAGATTCTGGACAAAAGGACATTATTGTAAAAATGGAGGAAATTCAGATTTTTTAGGTGAGAAAACAGTTTTCATAATAATTTTCTTATTTCTGAGTACAGTAGTTCAATTATGTAACAGGACATCATTGTTCTTAGGAGATAACACTAAAGTACTTAGGCACTGTGCTGGGTAGCTTCAGTTGTCAACTGGACACACCTGGGGAGAGGGAATCTCAAGTGAGACATTGCTTCCACTGGAATGGCTGGTGACCATATCTTTGAGGCATTTTCTTAATTGTTAATTGATATGGGAGGGTCCAGCCCATTCTCGGTGATGCCATCCCTGGGCAGGTGGTCCTAGGTTGTATAAGAAAGCAGTCTGAGCACTGTGCCACGGAGCAAGACAGTAAATAAGCAATGTTCCTGCCTGGTCTGTGATTCAGCTCCTGCCTCCAGGTCCCTGCCCTGCCTAAGTTCCTGCCTTGGTTTCTCTCAAGGATGGTTTCTCTCAAGGCTTTGTTTGGTGTTTTATCACAGTAATAGAAAGTTACTAGCTCAGAAATAAAGGGGCGTAATTCCTGAAAGTTTACAATAGAAGCCTCCACATAGAATGATAAAACAAAGGTGGTAGGAGATAAAACACTTGAGAAATCTGGATGAAGCATAAAGTGGGAGTTAGCTGTACTTTTTTTTTAATGGTAGTGGTGAGGCGTGATCAGAAGTGGAGTGGATGAGGAGTGAACCTGGGGTTGTGTGAGTACTAGGCAAGCGCTGTACTAGTAAACTACTTTCCCAGCTGGCTTTTTACATTTTCATTTTCAGATTATTTTATATTTATATTATTTATTATTTTATTTTGACATAGGTCTCGATAGATAGCCTAGGCTGGCCTTGAACTCACACATGAACTTGTGATCCTCTTGCCTCAGCCTTCTAAATAGCTGGCATTACAGACCTGTGCCACCAGGCAAAGCTACCATTATTGCAGGTTTTCTGTTACTTTGAAACGATTTAATTTTAGAAAGTAACAAAAAAGAAGTATTTGAAAATACTTTTAAAAACATTTAGGAGAAGCTGGGTGCGGTGACATGCACCTGTTATCCCAGCACTCAGCAGGCTGGGGCAGGAGCACTACCATTTTGCCAGTTTGAATCCAGCTTGAGCTACACTGTATGACCCTGTCTCAAAAGAAAACCATCCAAAACAAAAACAAAGGGGGAAGAGGTCTACCTAGAAGTATTGTTGCTAATTACTGAAAAAATTGAAAACAACTTAATTGTCATCAGTAGATGACAGCAGATGGATAAACAAATTTTGTTCTAATCAGTCACAGAATGTGCTTAGATGAATGAACACTTATCTGCATGTGTCAAGATGTGTCAACCTCAAAACTAAAAGTGTAAAGAGCAGGTAGCAGGGACTGGGGGTGTAATTCGGTGGTAGAGTACATGCCCAGCGGTTGATCTCCAATACAAAAGGGGGCGGGGGGAGCAGGTAAAAATGTAAAATTTATAAATACAGAAAACAAAGATGGAGACTATTGAAGAACAATACCTGTCTTGGAAGAATTTTTAGGCGTTTAAAGAAAAGTCAAGTAAACGCATGCATGCTTACAAGTAGGAGGAGGAAGTATGTGTTGTGCCTAACACGGATGGGGGAGGGGTAGCGAGGGCGCCCAAGGCACATACATTCATCTCAGAAATGGCAAATCTGCAAATCTCTCTCTCTCTCTCTCTCTCTCTCTCTCTCTCTCTCTCTCTCTCAATCAAGGCCTAGAAGACAAGAAGGGGTAAGGGGTTACGCAGATGAAACATCGAAAGGAAGGATGTTTCTAGAAGATACTGTTCATTGCAAAAATACCAGAAGGGAGAAACCTCAGGGCCTGGTGGAAACAGCTAGAGGTTTCTTTGAGCTGGAGCAGAGCAGGCACAAAGAGGGGATGGAAGATGACAAAGAGAAGTGCCCCCCGCCACCTCCTACACCCCTGACAAAGGCTCTAAGACCTAGCTAAGGAGTTTGACTGCCTGAAGGGAGGGCGGGGCGGTAAGCTAGTTTCTGGAAGCAGGCAAAGTTAACAACTGCAGTTTCAATTTCAAGGCTGGCTCTGGAGGCAAGATCAGTTGTTCACCCCATCCTCTCATCTTTGCTTCCTGCGTGCTAGAATTACAGGCATGAGTCACCATGCCTGGTTCAGGGGTCGCATTTTGTGCCACCTGACCATTTCAGAATGGGCCTTAGAATGTCAACCTACTGCTGGGTTTTCCAGTAGGGTATCTGTGGCTTTAGATTCATCTCGAACGTTTGAATTACAAAATAAAAAGCTGACGCAACACAGTAAAACACTTATGCTCCCACGCTGCAGGCTTATGGGCGTCATAGTTCTGTACTTTCCTCCACATTTTCACTAAATTTTACAACAAAATGGCAGAACAATGCTATAGCAAGAATTCAAAGAGTTGACGTGCTTGGAAGAATTTGAGCTCGAGGAAAGAACGCGAAACAGAAAGCTGCGGGGGCGGGAAGCGGCTTAGTCCTCCTCCACTTGGGAGGCTGAGGGTTCGGGTGGGCGGGGCCGAGAGAACGCGCGGAGAAGGGGGTCCTCCGGGGTTGGCCCCGCCCCTCTCGTGAGGTCAGGCTCACGGAGCCCCGCCCTAGTCCCGCCCCTCTCAGGCCTCGGCCCCCGCTCCCATGCCCCATGCCCTTCCCAGCCTATCCCAGCCTCTCCTCTCTCCATGACGCTACCTCCATTCTCCAGGCAATGCAGGGATCAAACGAGCGGCTGTGGAGGCAGTTGCCTGCCCACCTCTCCTCTGTCAGACCCTCGATCCTCAGACGCTGACAGGCATGACCTTGCCACTTCTGCCCGGCAACAGCTTTAAACGCAATGTGAGTAGCCGGGCTGTCCGAGGTCAGAGGTCCTGGCCAGATCCTGGGATTCAGATAGGATGGGGGCATGGCCACCTCCCTAGAGCCTACATATGAGTTCCTGCCCTCTACTTATGTGCGTTGAATACACCTGAAAGGAAATTTTATATTCCCTCTCCCCTGTCTCTCCATTGCATCTGGATGCTTTTCCTAGATTATATACCTAAGTAGGGCATTCCAAGGTAGCCAGTGACAGTGATGGTAAAAATAACCGTTGAGTGTTTAGTGTGTGCCAGGTCCTGTGCTTTAATCACCTTCCATGGTATTGGAGGGCGAGATGAAAGTACAAAAATCAAACCACAAAACCCCTGGAACATTAGAGAACTTTTGGTAATCACACTTTAAAGAACAATAGGAAGACGATTCGGGTTTTTGTTGGTGGGAGTTAGTGCCCTTTACTTGGGTTTGCCAGCTGTGTTTTTAGGACAAACTAATAAACTGCTGAAAAGTTGATGTGGAGCCACTGAAGGTATCTGTAAACCTGTAATAAGTTTACAAAGCATTCAGTACATTGAACTGACTACGAATTCCAAAGTGTCTGTATTTAAGTTGCTGTCCCTGAAGTACCAGTTTTATATGTAGCTTCACAACCCGAGGTAGATTCTAACCCTACACATTGGTTGGTCAGTCCAACCTTGAACACTGATGTGTGCCTTTCATTTCTTGGTTCATGATTAGAGGTTGGTCTCTGAAGCATAGAATTGCTCTTTGGTAAGATAAGTCAGTCACTCGAATAAGAAAGTCTCCAAGGAGGGCATGAAAGAGGATTCCAGAAGTAGAGAAGCATGCTGTGTAATAATAATTTTAATTAAAAAAAATATAGGCAGAGCTACAGCACAGCTAGGTTTCTGATTACTGATGCCTACTGCCTGCAGAAGAGCCTTGGCTCTTCCACACAGTGATTAAGAGTAGGAATGATGGAGAGTTTGGATGAGGTATTTTAAAGTCTACAACATTGTACTGAGTGTGCTTTGCTTTTTAAAAACTTTTTGTTGGGAAGCATAACACACGTGCAGAAGAACGCAATGGGTGATGGTGAAATGAACATGAAGTAGGACACAGACAGTGTTCCAGTAGCGGCCACCTTGACTAGGCTTGCCGTTTTTCAGGAGGGAAAAATGCATGTCCTGAATATTGCATGGGACCTATTTATACTAAAGGGTTACTTGTTTCAGATTCAAATTGAGCTGAGAACCTTGTATTTTATGTGGCAACTTTACCTATAACTTTCTGAGATATTTTTTACCCTTTCCTTTTTCTCTAAATATAACTACTATCCTGACTTCTGTCACTAGAATTAGATTCAGTTTGCTTTTGACCTTTTTATTCATGGAAATGTCCTATATTTATTCTTTTGTGACCTCTTTAATTCAACAATATATTTGTGAGATGTGTCCATGTGGATATCTATATATGTAGTTTGTATATTTTCATTGCACTGTATTAATGTCATATATACATATATATGAATTACTCTTCACACATAGCTTATTTGGGACTTTTACAAATACTTTTGCTGTTGATTCTCTTGTTTGTATCTTTCAGTATGATTGCTACATCATTTGGCAGTGCTATGTTCACTTTTAGTGGCACTGCAAAGTGATACACTAATTTTAATTCCCACCAGCATTTTTGTTTATATAACTTATTTTCTAAAACTTATTGTTAGTCTTTTAAGTTTTGTGTATTTTGGGGCTGTAGAGATGGCTCAGCAGTTAAGAGCACTGACTGCTCTTGCAGAGTACCCAGGTTCGATTCCCAGCACCTACATGGTGGCTAGCACCCGTCTGTTAGGCCAGTTCCAGGGGATCCAACGCTCTCTTCTGATCTCTGAGGGCATTGCACGACATGGGTGCACTTACCTTCCCGCATGTAAAATGCAAATAAACAAAACATTGAAAAATTTTGTATATTTTGCTCAGTGGGTGTGTTGCAACACTTTGTAGGAAGGTTTGTTGTTTGGTTCTTGTCTTTTAAAATTCTTATTTTATTTACTATTTTTATTTCATGTGTATGAATGTATTGCTTGCATGTATGTTAGTGCACCCATGTCATGCAATGCCCTCAGATGTCAGAAGAGGACATTGGATTCCTCTGGAACTGGAGTTACAGATAGTTGTTAGTTGCCATATGGGTACTGGTAATCAAATCTGCATCAGAACAGCCAGTGCTCTTAAGTGCTGAGCCACCTCTCCAACTCCTTGTTTTTCCTCTTTTTTGATACAGGATCTCCCTATAGCCCCAGCTGGCCTGAAACTCGCTGTGTAGACCAGGCTGGCCTCCATCTCACAGAGATCCACCTGCTTCTGCCTCCTGACTCCTGAGTGCTGGGATTAAAGGTGTGGGCCACGATGTCCATCTCACTTTGTAGTTTTAAAGATTTATTTTTCATTTTTTTACTTGGGTATGAATGTATACCACATGAATGTGGGTGCCTGTGGAAGCCAGAAGACAGCATCAGATCCCCCAGAGCTAAAGTTACAGGCAGTTGTTGAACCTATGTGGCTACTAGGAACTGAACTTGGGTCTCCTAGAAGAGCTGCAAGCACTATTAACCACTGGGCCATCTCTCCAGCCCTTCTTTATATTTTTAATCTGCACTTCCCTGACTTCATAATGAGGTTGAACATTCATTTTCACTCAGTTGCTGGTCATTTGCACATTTTTTGTGTGTAGTGTCTTTCTTGACTCTTGTCTGATTTCAATTAGGTTGCCTGCCTGTTTCATAGTGATTTTTATAGGCATTCTCTGTATAATCCTTGACATCGCCTGTCTGTGGTTGGTCTCTTCACTATCTTATAGTGTTTCTTTTTCTTTTTCTAGGAAACTTCAGGTTGCTTCTGTTTCATTAGTTTATTTCATTTGCAGTGCAGGGGATGGGACCTGGGGCCTTGAATATGGTATATGCAAGTGTTTTGCCACTGAGCTATAACTTCCAGCCCTTTCTTGGTGCTTCTGATGAATAAAATTTCTTATTTCATCTTCTAGAAACTTTGTTGTTGTCACCCTTCACATTTATATCTGTAATCTAACTAGAATATATTTGTGTGTGTATTCATGTGTGTGTGTGTGTGTGTGTGTGTGTGTGAAAAGATGTCGAGGTTGGTTGTATTTTTTCTCGTATGGACATTTAACAGGTCCAGGAACATTTTTGAAAAGAGTACTTACTATCTCTCCACTTATCTGCAGGTCCAGCTTTGTTGTAAACCAGACATCCATCTATTCATGGATCCATTTCTAGACACTAGAGTGTCTTTAAAACAGTATTTTCTTAATATATTTAGTGACTTATTTATATATTCATTTAGTTTGTGTCTGAAATGAAAGAGAATGTGTGTGAACATTAAAATATATTCAGTAGACACCATGGAGTTTCAACAGAGTATTTACTTACTGTGTTTCTTAGGATGTGCCCAAACCAGGTGGCTGGTTTCAAAATTGTGCCACTCGCCATGGAACTTAATGTGCCCCATTTTGCTTAAACAGTGATTTATTTTTAACAACTTGTATTTAGTTAAAAGATTGGATGCTTTCTGGCCTAGAATGGTCAGAAAGCCAGTAAAAGTCCCTTTAATTCTCTCCCCTGGCTTGCTAAAAGTATGAAGTGAAAGACCTTGGCCTCCTGTTGATAGTAGGATTACTTGGCTGTTTGGGTTTAAAATTATAACATGAACTTTCATTGCCTTTCCATAGAAATTCAAAAGGTCTTGGCTCTCTGCTGAGCTGTAAGTAGTCAAGCATGGACAGTGGATGCTGAAGAGACCTCAGACTCTCTCTCTCTCTCTCTCTCTCTCTCTCTCTCTCTCTCTCTTTTCTCCCTGCCCTGTTTCATTTTTGAAACAGGTTCTGGCTGTGTAGCTCTGGCCATCTTCAAACTCGTGATTGTCTTGCTTCAGCCTTCCAACTGTTAGGATTACAGATGTGTCACAATGCCCAGCCAATAGATTGATTTCTGTCCACAGCCAAGTGAGGTGCAACCTCTGTTTTTGCCTTGGAAATAAAAGTAGTATTGGGTCTTCTAAAACTTAATCATTTCTACCATGGGTCATACTAAAATTTAAATATGAATTAATTAAAGCCTTAGTGAAAGATCACAACTAAATTCCAGATCTACCTATTCCCCCCCCGCCCCCTCCCCCCCAGCCTTCCTGTTGTTGGTTTGTTGGTTTTTGTTTTTGTTTTTTGAGACAAGGTCTCACTCTGCAGTCAGGTCATCCTCGAACTCACTATGTAGACGTACGCAGACCTCAAATGTGTATAAATCCTCCTGTCTCAGCCTCCCAGGTGCTGAGATTCAGGTGTGAGCTACTACAACCAGCTTTTTTCACCCAACAATTTGCATGCTGGATTTGTAGCACACTAAGAGAATCCCAGGCATAGCCTCAAAATTTTAGGATATCAAAGTTAAAAGGGACGTTTTCAGTTGGAGCTGAAAATCCTTTCACAGCACTTTGGACAGATGGTTGGGCAACTGATCCTGAATGGGTAAGGAGCAGTGTACTCTTCCTCTGCCTCTTCCCTTCCCTTCCCTTCCCTTCCCTTCCCTTCCCT